ATTAATATGATACTTACAGAATTAGCGAACTTTTGTCCTCTGAAGAAGAAGGCTAAGTCCCTACCAATGTTAATATCATCATCTCTGACCGACGTGTAGGGGTGCGAGGTGTCAACTGGTGACGAGAACTGCTGCTGAGGTCCCAATTCAGCAACTAAAGTTCGTGCGAGAGGAACTATGGCCCTCTTTATCCTCCTACTGTCAGATTGCAGAAGATTAGGTGCTCTTGACCCGGGGACAGACCACAGTACCAGGGGTACCAATATGATGATCTGCCGAAAATATGAGAAATATCCTAGGGACAAAAGATGGTAAACACGAGTAATAACACGGAGGGAGAGATGACCAATTAAGAGAATGACTGAGGCTTACAGTCACCACGTAATCCAAAGTTGTCTCACCATATGCTACTCTCGGAATGCACAATACACATAGCACCATATGAAAATAAAATGGAATATTGAAAATAGTGAAAAGCTACTTTACCAAAGCCAAATACGCTTACCACAAATTTACAATTTGGCACCAGTACCTGAGTGAAGCTCCGTGGACAGGCCCCCATGTAATGTGACGGTAAAGCGTTTGGTGTTCGGCTGTTTCAAAAGCTGGGGGCAGGGGCCTCGTCACATAACAAAAAAAAAGAGAAGTTTGTCCTTTCGTCTGTGGTAAGGTAATGGGAAGACACAAAACACAAGTATAAACAATGAAATTTTAATTACTCTAGAAAACAAGACATGAATAAAGGCAATCTCATAAAATGCAGGACAAGTCAACAAACAAAACAACATGAATAATCACTGGCAATGAAAAGTTACACTAAGACAAGTAAGTTATAGTGATAGCAATATAAATAAAATATGTGAGGTGCTGGAATACTGGCTTCAAGCTGCCACCTCCCTTAGTACACGAAAGCCTAGGCTTAGTCTACCAGCGAGAGATGTCACCTCCATGGAGCACAGAGATATTCTGAGGAGTACGGCGTGCTGCTGCCCAGACGTCGACTCGGTGGTGGTGTGAGTGCAGGTGCGGCGAGACACCAGCCAATCAGCAACAGGGAGGCAGAGGATGAGCAGTTTACTGGTTACGGCGGCTGTAGCAGGTGTCGGGGTGTACATGGTACGATTTGCTTCCTGGACAAAACGTTTGGCGATACTGGTGGACGTATCTTCTATATAGTATCTTGTACTTTAAAGACGTAATGATGTAGGGAAGAGCAGGCTCAATCTCTCTTGAAAGAGATTATCGTCACAATATATACACATCAATGATTTGCCAAATATTTCTAACATTCTTAAACCTAGACTATTTGCTGACGATACTACCTTCATCTATTCTGACCCCAACCCACACACACTAAATAATATTGTCAATAATGAATTATAAAAAGTCCACTCATGGATGTCAACCAACAAACTAATACTAAACATAAAAAAAGAACTTCTACTTTTTATTTGGTAGTAAATCATCAAATCAAATTCAACTTCAGATAGACAATGTTACCATTAGCAATACAAATGAGGAAAAGTTCCTTGGCCTATACATAGACAAGAGACTGAACTTTAGCACCCACATACAATACATAGCCAAAAAAGTATAAAAAACGGTCGGCATACTTTCTAAAATTAGATATCATGTTCCTCGCTCTGCTCTCCTCTCATTATACTATGCACTAATCTATACTTATCATACACACGGTGTCTGTGCATGGGGTTCAGCCACTGCAAATTACCTTAAGCCCATCATCACTCGGCAAAAATCTACCATCAGAAATATAACAAACTCCGTCTTCAGACAATACACAGTTCCTCATTTTAAGTTCCTTAACATGATAAACATACACTCACTCCATACATTATAATCTGCTATTTGCATGTACAAAACCTTGTTCCTAAATGCTAATCTTGATCTGAAACTTTTCTTTCGTAAGTATAATAGAAACCATGAGCATTACACCAGAAATAAATATATCTTTGATATCTCCAGTGTCAAACGAAACCAGTGCAAACACTCCATGCAAATAATAGGGCCCGGTCTTTGGAACTCACTCCCTGACGAATTAAAAAATTGTCCAACCTATGCCCTATTTAAAAGTAGAACCAAAAGATGCCTAATTTCATCCCCATAGTTTCCTACCTTGTGCTTCAAACTCCCACCGCATCTTGTACTACCCACTTCCCCAATAGTATTACTTAAGACATATATCTTTACCAGTGTAATCATATCTCTCAATTTATATTGTTGTTATTTGTTGATATAAAACCTTGTTACAATGTGCATTTTCATCTTACCTGATATGTTAGATTAAGGACCTGCCCGAAACGCTATGCGTGCTAGTGGCTTTACAAGAATGTACAAATGCCAATCTTCTGTAACCTCACCAACCCATTGTACCATCTTGTGAATAAATTATTATTATTACTATTAAGCCACTGAGGGCCTGTAGTTGTAGAGTCATGAACCGTGCTCCTCAAGATCTGACACTTTTGCCCTTGTCCAAGAGGGTTAACTCCAGAGAGATTATCAGCCGGGTTCTACCGTGGGCATTCTGGCTGGCCCGTGTGGTTAAATGTGTCACTCGATCCATTCACTTGGTGTCTAAATGTATCATTTGATAGCTTTAATTACTTAACTCGTCCAGTCCTCTTCTGTGTGAGTAGATACTTAGAGTGTAGTCTCACTATGGTATAAGTTGTGATCCTATAATACCCTGTATCTAAAACACTTATGTATTATACATTGATGAAACTTTTTTGGCTAATAATTTATTTCAAATACATAAATATTGTAATGAAAAAAAATAACCGTAGGTGACATTTGAATTGTAAAGTGCTTAGATTAGATGTAATTGTTAATGTAAATGTCTCTGTTTAGGTCTGATTAAGATCTCTTGGGCCATAATTTTTTGTGCTACCGTCCATGGGATATGCACCAACACTCTCGAGATGAGTATTGGGTGCACAATACACTAGCCGCCTCCGGCGACATTAAAAACAAATCCCCCGCCAACCTTCTCTTCTCTGTTGTTTTTGTTATTGTTGTTATTTTAAATTTAGCTACTCAGAACGAAATGTCCACACATCTCATCATGTATCACGGTCTATGGTGAGCCCGTAATTGAGTTTGATTATTTGCGATAAACTTGTTACTGTGATATTTGGGTCAAAGTTTTAAATGGAGGTGGGGTTTCCTCCTATTTCCCTGTTTCTTTTTTCGCTTCTGTTTCAGTGCACTGGTTTTAGTCTTGTTTAATAATATAATCTTGATGGCGGATGTAGATGCAGAAAGTTCACTACCGAGTCCCATTCTTCAACAGCTTTTCTAATCATTGTAGTCGCTGTGGAATGTGCATCTAATGTAGCTGCTATCGTTGGATTAATGATGAGTTTGGTGCACAAGGCTTCAGTAGCTTCACATTCCAGTAAGTAGTGCAATAGTGGCGCCTCTGCTTCTGTTCCACAGATATGACACACTTTAGCTATTGGGTTTATTACCTCCTAGGAGCACTTGTAACCAGGTCTGAGTCTGTGTATGGCTAGTGCAATGTCTCTGGTTATCTTTTTGTCAGGCTTGAAAGAGTAGTACCCAGTGGCTTCTTCGTACCATATCGCAGTGGATCTTCCGCTACTTTGGCTCTGTGGCGACTTTTGATAGTTGGGAGTATTTTCTTCTTGGTTTGCTCCTTAGTCTGTGAAAAACTTGGAGGTATTTGAACCTTTACAACAGGTAGAGCAGTGGCAGTTTTTGCTAGTGAGTCTGCCTTTTCATTACCATCTATGCCAATGTGACTTGGTATCCAATGTAGGGTGATTGACAGCCCCAAGATTATGGGCTTCTTTTCCTATATGTTGGATATCTATGAGGAGTTGTATATTATCTCTGTACTGACTGTATAACAATGCCTGGAGTGAAGATTTAGAGTCAGTATGAATGATGACATCATGTAAATTATTCTCAATTGTATGGTTTATGGCCTTCTTCAGGGCATATAATTCTGTTTGCAATGTTGAGCACCCACTATTCATGCTCCAGTAAGCTTCATGGTTGTTAGTGTAAACTGCTGCCCCAGCAGAACCTCTTTCTTGATCAACTGATCCAACTGTGAAGATATGAGTCGTTGTCGGTCTTGAGATGGTTTCCATTTGTTGTTCTATGACTGCTTTGAGCTTCTGCGAGTCACATGCTAATTTTTAACCGGTAATCCTTCAATGATTATCTTTAGACTACATTCTTCCCATGCAGGAGGTTGCCGAAAGTGCTGATATGGTCTATCTTCTCCTTTGTTTTTATTGGTCCATTTCAAGTCAACTTTCTCTAGAATTTGACCAGATTATCTGTCCATACACTTGTTCTATACTGAAGGTTTCTCTGAAGCGATCTGTGTATGCTATCTTTGATTGACAGTCTGGTGGTGGTTCCAACAAGTTTTGTTTTTATGGCGGCAATTCTTTATTTGATCCTGTTTTCTAAGGCTGGTAAGTTGGTTTCCATTCTTAGATTCTCTCGACGCGTCCATATAGGTGCTCCCACCATTGTTCTGAGGGCATCATTTTGAGACACTTCCATTTTCTCCCATTGGTTATTACTGAGGGATGTAAGAGCAGGAGCAGCATAGTCAATGAGTGACCTAACTGCTTGAACGTAGGGCATTTTGAGTACTGGACGCTTCTCTGTTGTTGTTGTTATAGATTCAGCTACTCGGAACAAGTTCCACATAGCACGGGCTATGGTGAGCCCGTAACTTACCTGGCACAGGAGCGGTGCTAACCGGGTTCTCTGGCTGACGCCTAGTTATAAAGCTCCCTTTCACTCAACCCGCTTACACTTCAACCTCGGTGTGAAGGACACCCAGTTATAATTCTCTCCCTCCTCTACCACCTTCTACCACTTACTGCCTATTCATGTCCATGTCACCTCGTGGGAGGCTTAATCTTCATCAATTAATCAATCTCTACCACCACCGTGGCGAGACGGACACCAGATCGTACCTACCACTGTTACAGAGTGTGCGGACTGCCTTCTTGACTGGTTCGCTGGAGAGAATGTGAGTCAGGTGGCGGTGCCCACCTACGTATTCATCCGCGATTACCAGGACGCCTGTGGCACCATCGACGTCGCCTACAGGACCTTCTACCCCTACAACTACGGCAAGGATGTCTGCGTTGGTAAGTCACGAGCACGGGGGCAAGCAACCGCCTTCTGCTTGTCTTTGGTTCGTACAGTGAGTTATTAGTTAAGGCATAGCGGCAATAACACCCTGATGTAAACTAGTAAATATATGGAGAGCAAATGATAGTCAAGCCATTGTTATTATTACTTGTAGTAGTAGAATTGCTTTTAAGAGTCACAACTTGCATGGTCTTGTAACTCACCAGAGCAGTCAAGAACCCTTATGCAGACAATGAGTCACAATAACGGGGCTGAAGATATGAAGACTAAAGCAAACACCAGAAGATGAGGAGACGACGACGTGTTGGTCCGTCCTGGACCATTATCAAGTAGACTGATAGTGGTCCAAGACGGACCGACACGTCGTCGTCTCCTTATCTTCTGCAGTGTGGTTTAGTCTTCAAGAACCCTCATCATCAGCTGGATGATACCTGACCCTTTAAGGTGATATATGATACATATTTTTAAGTAAATACTTCAAGATGTCATAGAGACGAAGTGTAGCGGCTCACACACTCACACCTCATTACCTGCTGCCCCACACTCACACCTCATTACCTGCTGTCCCACACTCCCGCCTCATTACCTGTTGCCCCACACTCCCGCCCCATTACCTGTTGCCCCACACTCACACCTCATTACCTGCTGCCCCACACTCCCGCCTCATTACCTGCTGCCCCACACTCCCGCCTCATTACCTGCTGCCCCACACTCCCGCCTCACTACCTGCTGCCCCACACTCCCGCCTCATTACCTGCTGTCCCACACTCACACCTCATTACCTGTTGCCCCACACTCACACCTCATTACCTGCTGCCACACACTCACACCTCATTACCTGCTGCCCCACACTCCCGCCTCATTACCTGCTGCCCCACACTCCCGCCTCATTACCTGCTGCCCCACACTCCCGCCTCATTACCTGTTGCCCCACACTCCCGCCTCATTACCTGCTGCCCCACACTCCCGCCTCATTACCTGCTGCCCCACACTCCCGCCTCATTACCTGCTGCCCCACACTCCCGCCTCATTACCTGCTGTCCCACACTCCCGCCTCATTACCTGCTGCCCCACACTCACACCTCATTACCTGTTGCCCCACACTCCCGCCTCATTACCTGCTGTCCCACACTCCCGCCTCATTACCTGCTGTCCCACACTCACACCTCATTACCTGTTGCCCCACACTCACACCTCATTACCTGCTGCCACACACTCACACCTCATTACCTGCTGTCCCACACTCCCGCCCCATTACCTGTTGCCCCACACTCCCGCCTCATTACCTGTTGCCCCACACTCCCGCCTCATTACCTGCTGCCACACACTCACACCTCATTACCTGTTGCCCCACACTCACACCTCATTACCTGTTGCCCCACACTCACACCTCATTACCTGCTGCCACACACTCACACCTCATTACCTGCTGCCCCACACTCCCGCCTCATTACCTGCTGCCCCACACTCCCGCCTCATTACCTGCTGCCCCACACTCCCGCCTCATTACCTGTTGCCCCACACTCCCGCCTCATTACCTGCAGCCACACACTCACACCTCATTACCTGTTGCCCCACACTCACACCTCATTACCTGCTGTCCCACACTCACACCTCATTACCTGCTGTCCCACACTCCCGCCCCATTACCTGTTGCCCCACACTCACACCTCATTACCTGCTGCCACACACTCACACCTCATTACCTGCTGTCCCACACTCACACCTCATTACCTGCTGCCACACACTCACACCTCATTACCTGCTGTCCCACACTCACACCTCATTACCTGCTGTCCCACACTCCCGCCCCATTACCTGTTGCCCCACACTCACACCTCATTGCCTGCTGCCCCACACTCACACCTCATTACCTGCTGCCCCACACTCACACCTCATTACCTGCTGCCACACACTCACACCTCATTACCTGCTGTCACACACTCACACCTCATTACCTGCTGCCCCACACTCACACCTCATTACCTGCTGCCACACACTCACACCTCATTACCTGCTGCCCCACACTCACACCTCATTACCTGCTGCCCCACACTCACACCTCATTACCTGCTGTCACACACTCACACCTCATTACCTGCTGTCACACACTCACACCTCATTACCTGCTGTCACACACTCACACCTCATTACCTGCTGCCCCACACTCACACCTCATTACCTGCTGCCACACACTCACACCTCATTACCTGCTGTCACACACTCACACCTCATTACCTGCTGCCCCACACTCACACCTCATTACCTGCTGTCACACACTCACACCTCATTACCTGTTGCCCCACACTCACACCTCATTACCTGCTGTCACACACTCACACCTCATTACCTGCTGCCACACACTCACACCTCATTACCTGCTGCCACACACTCACACCTCATTACCTGTTGCCCCACACTCACACCTCATTACCTGCTGCCACACACTCACACCTCATTACCTGCTGCCACACACTCACACCTCATTACCTGCTGCCACACACTCACACCTCATTACCTGCTGCCACACACTCACACCTCATTACCTGCTGCCCCACACTCACACCTCATTACCTGCTGCCACACACTCACACCTCATTACCTGCTGCCACACACTCACACCTCATTACCTGCTGCCACACACTCACACCTCATTACCTGCTGCCCCACTCTCACACCTCATAACCTGTTGCCACACACTCACACCTCATTACCTGTTGCCCCACACTCACACCTCATTACCTGCTGCCACACACTCCCACCTCATTACCTGTTGCCCCACACTCACACCTCATTACCTGCTGCCACACACTCCCGCCTCATTACCTGCTGCCCCACACTCACACCTCATTACCTGCTGCCACACACTCCCGCCTCATTACCTGCTGCCCCACACTCACACCTCATTATCTGCATAATAAATTATCTCAGTGGCTTCCTCAACAACCAAAAGTTACAGCCCCGCTCCTGTGCCAGGTAAGTCCACAACGGGCTCACCATAGCCCGTGCTACTTGCCCCGCTCCTGTGCCAGGTAAGTCCACAACGGGCTCACCATAGCCCGTGCTACTTGCCCCGCTCCTGTGCCAGGTAAGTCCACAACGGGCTCACCATAGCCCGTGCTACTTGCCCCGCTCCTGTGCCAGGTAAGTCCAAAACGGGCTCACCATAGCCCGTGCTACTTGGAACTTTTTGTTCCGAGTAGCTGAATCTAAAACAACAACAACATTCCTCAACAAAACGATCGTTCATGACCCTCATTAATGAGCAGCTCATAAAACATCCTGCTTAGTATCAATAGTGACACACGAAACCAACCATTTCCATGAGATGCCCTTCGCCTCGTGACACTTATCCTCATTCATGAGGAATACATTAACATTTATGAGGCTTCACTTCTGAACAGTGTCACAACCTCGCACCAGGAGACTTCATCTTCTCATTTTACGAGTAATACAACTCACTTAGAAAATAAAAATAAAAGTATTTATTCATAAATAGTTGTACAGTCTTGCCATGATGCGCCGTGTAAGTGTGTGTGTATGCCCGCGTGTGTATGAGCCCGCGTGTGTATGAGCCCGCGTGTGTATGAAGCCGTGTGTGTATGAGCCCGCGTGTGTATGAGCCAGCGTGTGTATGAGCCCGCGCGTGTATGAGCCAGAGTGTGTATGAGCCCGCGTGTGTACGAGCCCGCGTGTGTATGAGCCCGCTCGAGTATGAGCCAGAGTGTGTATGAGCCAGAGTGTGTATGAGCCCGCGTGTGTATAAGCCCGAGCGTGTATGAGCCTGAGTGTGTATGAGCCCGCGTGTGTATGAGGCCGCGCCTGTATGACCACGCGCGTGTATGAGCCCGCGTGTGTATGAGCCCGGGTGTGTATGAGCCCGTGTGTGTATGAGCCCGCGTGTGTATGAGCCCGTGTGTGTATGAGCCCGCGTGTGTATGAGCCCGTGTGTGTATGAGCCCGCGTGTGTATGAGGCCGCGCGTGTATGAGCCAGAGTGTGTATGAGCCAGAGTGTGTATGAGCCCGCGGTTGTATAAGCCCGAGCGTGTATGAGCCTGAGTGTGTATGAGCCCGCGTGTGTATAAGCCCGCGTGTGTATGAGGCCGCGTGTGTATGAGGCCGCGCGTGTATGAGCCCGCGCGTGTATGAGCCCGGGTGTGTATGAGCCCGTGTGTGTATGAGCCCGCGCGTGTATGAGCCCGCGCGTGTATGAGCCCGCGTGTGTATGAGCCGTGTGTGTGTATGAGCCAGCGTGTGTATGAGCCGTGTGTGTGTATGAGCCAGTGTGTGTATGAGGCCGCGCGTGTTCGAGCCCGCGTGTACATGAGCCCGTGTGTGTATGAGCCCGCGTGTACATGAGCCCCTGTACTCACTTAATTGTACTCACCTAGTTGTGTTTTCGGGGGTTGAGCTCTGGCTATTTGGTTCCGCCTCTCAAAAGTCAATCAACAAGTGTATAGATTCCTGAGCCTATTGGGCTCTATCATATCTACACTTGAAACTGTGTATGGAGTCAGCCTCCACCACATCACTTCCTAATGCATTCCATTTGTCAATCACTCTGACACTACGAAAGTTCTTTCTAATATCTCTGTGGCTCATTTGGGCACTCAGTTTCCACCTGTGTTCCCTTGTGTGTGTGCCCCTTGTGTTAAATAGCCTGTCTTTATCTACCCTATCAATTCCCTTCAGAATCTTGAATGTAGTGATCATGTCCCCCCTAACTATTCTGTCTTCCAGCGAAGTGAGGTTTAATTCCCGTAGTCTCTCCTCGTAGCTCATACCTCTCAGCTCGGATACTAGTCTGGTGGCAAACCTTTGAACCTTTTTCAGTTTAGTCTTATCCTTGACTAGATATGGACTCCATGCTGGGGCTGCATACTCCAGGATTGGCCTGACATATGTGGTATACAAAGTTCTGAATGATTCTTTACACAAGTTTCTGAATGCCGTTCGTATGTTGGCCAGCCTGGCATATGCCGCTGATGTTATCCTCTTGATATGTGCTGCAGGAGACAGGTTTGGCGTGATATCAACCCCCAAGTCTTTTTCCTTCTCTGACTTCTGAAGAATTTCCTCTCCCAGATGATACCTTGTATCTGGCCTCCTGCTCCCTACACCTATCTTCATTACATTACATTTGGTTTGGTTAAACTCTAACAACCATTTGTTCTACCATTCCTTCAGCTTGTCTAGGTCTTCTTGAAGCCTCAAGAAGTATAAGCCCGTGTGTGTGTATGAGCCCGCGTGTGTATGAGCCGCGTGTGTATGAGCCCGCGTGTGTATGAGCCCGCGTGTGTATGAGCCCGCGCGTGTATGAGCCAGAGTGTGTATAAGGCCGCGTGTGAATGAGCCCGCATGTGTATGAGCCCGCGTGTGTCTGATCCCGTGTGTGTATGAGCCCGTGTGTCTATGAGCTCGCGCTTGTATGAGCCCGCGTGTGTATGAGCCCGAGTGTGTATGAGCCCGTGTGTGTATGAGCCCGTGTGTGTGTGAGCCCGTGTGTGTATGAGCCCGTATGTGTATGAGCCCGTGTGTGTGTATGAGCCCGTGTTTGTATGTGCCCGAGTGTGTATAAGACCGTGTGTGTATAAGCCCGTGTGTGTATAAGACCGTGTGTGTATAAGCCCGTGTGTGTATAAGCCCGTGTGTGTATAAGCCCGTGTGTGTATAAGACCGTGTGTGTATAAGCCCGTGTGTGTATAAGACCGTGTGTGTATAAGCCCGCGCCTGTATAAGCCCGCGCGTGTATGAGCCCGTGTGTGTATAAGCCCGTGTGTGTATAAGCCCGTGTGTGTATAAGCCCGTGTGTGCATATGCCCGCCCGTATATGAGCCTGTGTGTGTATGAGCCCGCGTGTTTAACGTATTTCTAACTTCTATGGTAAACTCGCAGTGTGGCCATCTTGCAGGTATACCGGTGGCGGGAGAGTGTGAAGGATACGTGCAGTCCTTCGGCAACCACGTGGGTGACTGGGAGCACTACTCCATCAGGATCAGGGCGAGTACCTCTGTGCTCGACGCACACATGTGTTTATTATTCTCAGTACTAAGATCTTCACTCATGCTCGGAAAGGTAGACTGTGACTGCACATGAGGCTTCAGATAACTTAAGTAAAGGCTTCAGAACTTAAGTAAAGGCTTCAGATAACTTAAGTAAAGGCTTCAGATAACTTAAGTAAAGGCTTCAGATAACTTAAGTAAAGGCTTCAGATAACTTAAGTAAAGGCTTCAGAACTTAAGTAAAAAATTAAATCGTATGCAGAGATTTAACGACAAAGGAATTATAACCATAACGGTGAACAAATCAATACATAGAAAGCAATGATCTTTTGAAGCTTGCACTTCAAAAGACGTAGCGAGGCCCCATACTGATCCCACACTAGGAAACAACCATACTTGGGAACTGGCACACTAGGGTACTCCCACACTTGGGTACTCCAGCACTAGGGTACTCCCACACTAGGGTACTCCCACACTTGTGAACTCCCACACTTGGATACTCCAACACTAAGGTACTAACACACTTGGGTACTGCCACACTAGGGTGCTCTAACACTAGGGAACTCCCACACTTGGGTAGTCCCACACTAGGTTACTCCCACACTTGGGTGCTGCCACACTAAGGTAGTCCCACACGAGGGTAGTCCAACATACCCTAGTGTGTACCCAAGTGTGGGAAGGGTATTCCCACACTTGGGTACTCTCACACAAGGGTACTCCCACACTAGAGTACACCCACAATAGGGTACTCACACACATGGGTACTCCTACACTTGGGTACTCCTACACTAAGGTACTCCCATAGTAAGATATTCCCACACTAGGGAACTTCCACACATTGGTAATCCCACACTTGGGTACTCCCACTCCCACTCCCACAATAGGGTACTCCCACACTTGGGTACTCCCACACAAGGGTACTCCCACACTTGGGTACATCCACATTTGGGAAATCCCTCTCTAAGATACACCCACACCTGGGTACTCTCACACTACTGAAGACAACAACTGTACTGAAGATAGGTGTAGGGAGCAGGAGGCCAGATACAAGGTATCATCTGGGAGAGGAAATTCTTCAGGAGTCAGAGAAGGAAAAAGACTTTGGGGTTGATATCACGCCAGACCTGTCTCCTGCAGCACATATCAAGCGGATAACATCAGCGGCATATGCCAGGCTGGCCAACATACGAACGGCATTCAGAAACTTGTGTAAAGAATCATTCAGAACTTTGTATACCACATATGTCAGGCCAATCCTGGAGTATGCAGCCCCAGCATGGAGTCCATATCTAGTCAAGGATAAGACTAAACTGGAAAAGGTTCAAAGGTTTGCCACCAGACTAGTACCCGAGCTGAGAGGTATGAGCTACGAGGAGAGACTACGGGAATTAAACCTCACTTCGCTGGAAGACAGAAGAGTTAGGGGGGACATGATCACCACATTCAAGATTCTGAAGGGGATTGATAGGGTAGATAAAGACAGTCTATTTAACACAAGGGGCACACGTACTAGGGGACACAGGTGGAAACTGAGTGCCCAAATGAGCCACAGAGATATTAGAAAGAACTTTTTTAGTGTCAGAGTGGTTGACAAATGGAATGCATTAGGAAGTGAGGTGGTGGAGGCTGACTCCATACACAGTTTCAAGTGTAGATATGACAGAGCCCGATAGGCTCAGGAATCTGTACACCTGTTGATTGACGGTTGAGAGGCGGGACCAAAGAGCCAGAGCTCAACCCCCGCAAACACAACTAGGTGAGTACACTAGGGTACTCCCACACTATGGTATTCCCAAAGTAGGGAACTCCAATACTTGGGTACTCCCACAATTGGGTACTCCCACTCTTGGATACTCCCACACTTGGGTACTCCCACAAAAGAATACACCCACACTAGTGGTACTCCCACACCTGACTACCCCCACACTAGGGTACTCCTACACTAGGGTACTCCCACACTAGGGTACTCCCACACTAGGGTACTCCCACACTTGGGTACTCCCACACTAGGGTACTCCCACACTAGGGGACTCTCATACTTGGGTACTGCAACAATAGGGTACTCCACTTGGGTACTCACACACAAGGGTACTCCAACACTTGGGTCCTCCCACATTTGGGTACTCCCACAGTAAGGAACTCCCACACTAAGGTACTCTAACACTAGAGTACTCCCACACTTGAGTACTCCCTCACTTGGGTACTCTCACACTGAAGAATTTCCACACTAGGGTACTCCCACACTTTGGTACTCCCACACTAGGGTACTCCCACACTAGGGTACTCCCACACTATTGTACTCCCACACTAGGGTACTCCCACACAAGGGTCCTTCCATATTTGGGTAATACCACACTAAGGTACTCGCACACGAAGGTATTCCCACACAAGAACACTCCCACACTTGGGAACTCCCACACTAAGATACTCCCACACTAAGGCACACCAACACTATGGTATTCCCACACTTCAGAATTCTCCCACTTGGGTACTCCCACACTAGAGTACACCCACAATAGGGTACTGCCACACATGGGTACTCCTACACATGGGTACTCCCACAGTAAGGTACTCCCGAACTAAGGTATTCCCACACTAGGGAACTCCCACACTTTGGTACTCCCACACTTGGGTACTCCCACACTAGGTTACTCCCACACTTGCGAACTCCCACAATAGGGTACTCCCACACTAGGGTACTCCCACACTAGGGTACTCCCACACTAGGGTACTCCCAAACAAGGGTACTTCTACACTTGGGTACTTCCACACTTGGGTACTCCCACTCTAAGATACTCACACACTTGGGTACTCCCACACTAGGGTACTCCAACACTAGGGTATTCCCAAAGTAGGGAACTCCAATACTTGGGTACTTCCATAATTGGGTACTCCCACTCTTGGAGTCTCCCACACTTGGGTACTACCACTCTTGGGTGCTCCCACACTTGGGTACTCCCACACAAGAGTACAACCACACTAGTGATACTCCCACACCTAACTACTCCCACACTAGGGTACTCCAACACTAGGGTACTCCCACACTTGTGTACTCCCACACTAAGGAACTCCCACACTTGGGTACTCCCACAATAGGGTACTCCCACACTAGAGTACTCCCACACTATGGTACTCCCACACTAGGGGACTCTCATACTTGGGTACTGCAACAGTAGGGTACTCCACTTGGGTACTCCCACACAAGGGTACCCCAACACTTGGAAACTCCCACACTAGGGTACTCCCACATTGGGTACTCCCACACTAGCGTATTCTCACATTGTGGAACTCATACTCTAGGGAACTCCCACACTACGTTCCTCCCACATTTGGGTACTCCCACATTAAGGTACTCCCACACTAAGTTACTCTAACACTTGGGTACTCCCACACTTGGGTACTCTCAAACTAAGGTACTTCCACACTAGGGTACTCCCACACTTGGGTACTCCCACACTAGGGTACACCCACACTATGGTACTCCCACACTAGGGTATTCCAACACTTGAGAACTGCCACAATGAGGTACACCCACACTAGGGTACTCTCACTCCTGGGTATTGCTACACTAGGTAGTACCTAAGGGACTGCCACACTAAGGTACTCCTACACTAGGATACTTCCACATTAGGGAACTCCCACACTTGGGTACTCTCACACAAGGGTATTCCCACACTAAGGTAGTCCCACACTTGGGTACTCCCACACTAGGGAATTCCAACACTTCGGTACTCCCACACTTGGGTATTCCCAAACTAGAGTACACCCACAATAGGATACTCCCGCACATGGGTACTCCTACACTTTGGTACTCCCACACTAAGGTACTCCAACACTAAGATATTCCCACACTTGGATACTCCCTCACTATGGAACTCCCACACTTGGGTACTCACACACTTTGATACTCCCACACTTGGGTACTCCCGCACTAGGGTGCTCCCAAACTTGGGTGCTCCCACCATAAACTACTCCCATACTCAGGTTCTCCCCCACTAAGGTACTTCCACTCTTGGGTATTCCCACAGTACGCTACTCCCACACTTGGGTACTCCCACACTATGGTACTCTCACTCTTGGGTACTCACACACTAGGGTACTGCCACACTAGGGTACTCCCATACTTGGGTACTCCCACATCTGGGTACTTCCACACTTGGGTACTCCCACACTTGGGTGTTCCCACAGTAGGGTGCTCCCACACTTGGGTAATCCCACACTAAGGTTCACCCACACTATGGTACTCCCACACTTGGGTAATCCCACAACAGGGTACTCCCACACTAGGGTACTCCCACACTTCGTGTATTCCCACACTAGGGAACTCCCACACTTGGGTACTCCCACACATTTACACTCCCAAACTAAGGTACTCCAACACATGGGTACTCCCACATTAGGGTACTGCCACACTAGGTTACTCCCACAGCAGGGAACTCCAACACTTGGGTACTCCCACACTTTTATACTCCCACACTTTTATACTCCCAAACTAAGGTACTCCAACACATGGGTACTCCCACATTAGGGTACTGCCACACTAGGTTACTCCCACAGCACGCAACTCCAACACTTGGGTACTCCCACAATTGGGTAATCCCACTCTTGGATACTTCCACACTTGAGTACTCCCACACAAGAATACACCCACACAAGGGGACTGCCTCACTTGGGTACTTCCACACTAGGAAACTCCAACACTTGGGTACTCCCATACTTGGGAACTTTCACACTAAGGTACTCAAACACTTGGGAACTCCCACACTAGGATACTCCCACACTAGGGTACTTTCACAATAGGGTACTCCCAAACTAGGGTAATCCCACACTAAGGTAGTTCCACACTTGGGTACTCCCACACAAGAGTGCTTCCACAATTCGGTACTCCTACACTTGGGTACTCCAACACTAAAGTACTCCCACACTAAGGTATTCCCACACTAGGGTACTCCCACTTTGTAACTCCCACACTTGGGCACTCCCATACTTGTGTACTCC